CCAAAATTGTTTCCTGTCAGGCCTATTTGTGCGGCAGTTGACATAATTGAAAACGAGGGAGAGCTGCTTGATGGAAGTAAGCAGAGTGCAGCTGACGTGGACCAATCAGGGCCGTTCATGCCAAGGTCACGCGCCCCAAGGCACCAACAGAGTTAAACAGAGGTTATGGCAGACTCGGGGTAATCCAACCATTTTGTTGCTGCTAGCTGCCTAGTAGATCAATCAGAAGTTCTTATTTGCACATATGTTTCAGCTAGCTTCGTTACCAGGACCCTCTTCAAAACCTACTGTTACAAGCTACTTGCCTGAAAACCACGTAGCGATAGCCTTTAAAGTTTCTGTTCTTTGCAGCTCGAAACCCCTGAAGACGACATAGTCGTGGATCGCATCGACGGCCTCGTAGTAAATGACCTTTCCGTCGTCATTTACCCCATTTCCTTTGCCCAGCTTGTCCATCATCTTGTCTTTCAACATGCGAATCTAAAGAGCCGGTCGATATCAATCAATTCAGGCCGCAGAATAGCATGAACCTGTCCCATAGAACCTCTGCCTCTCTAGCAACAATAAAGGGCCTCGGGAATCCCTTGAAGCTGATGTTCATCTGCGGGTGCAAGGAGGTTGGGGAAATGTATCGGTTGACTTGAGCAGCTCCCAGGACATGAGGACCCGTAAACGACCCTTTCGAATACTCTTCAGAGCCATCAGTTGTATTCCTAATATAATCGGACTTGCTATTCGCAAGCGCTTGCTGGGGCGATTCTAAGACGGTCCTGGTTCTCGATGAGATACTTTGTAAGAGCTGAAGCAAGGTTGCCACCGGCAGACACTCGAGGCTCCTTCGATGATTATGTCGTCTGGGGAATATCCAACGACCTTGACGAGATGGATATAGTCGGTCGTCGTGTCGATGAGAGTTGCGGGAAAGGGATTTGTTGCTGGGTAAGGTGAACTGATGCTGAGTCGGTGTCCGAGGGAAAAGGTTCGGTGGATATTGGGAATGTGCTTCATAATTATAAGGCCATGAGCGATCTGAGACGCCATATCACTGGGACAGCCAGATTGTAACCAGAGAACCTAAAAAATGTTTTAGATAGCCAACAGACATAGTCTCCGTTGACGTCCAGTACGTAGCCACCGCCGTGGACTCGGTGGTAAAGGACCTTTTCACCAGGCTCGCGCGGGTTCCTGCGTCGACCTTGTCTCTAGCGATCCAGGAATAGTGATGGAACAGCTCGGCTCGGCTTACTCCGGCTCGGCTTTCGACGGCTCGGCTCAGGAAATCTCAAGCCCAAGCCGTAGGCCGACGAAAGCCGCGGCTTGAAGCCGTCAGAACTGTGGCGCAGGCTGGGGAAAAAGGGGTCTTAAAACCCACCAAAGGCTTCAATTTTGGGTGTAAAGCTCTCTTATTCATAAATATGACTTTCAATTCATCTTAGGACCGCTGAACAAGGCTGCACGCAAGAAATACCGCCAAGCCGAACCTTCGGCTTAGGAAAATCCCAAGCCGAAGCCGTGAGCCGTTTCAGGCCGAGCCGCCAGGCCGACTCGACGGCTCGGCAGCCGCGGCTTTGTCGGCTCTGAGCCGAGCCGTTCCATCACTATCCAGGAATCCTGACGGATTCGACTTGCGCGACGCTCGCAAAGAGCTCGAGGTCCCCAACGATGAATTTTGGGCTCGGAAGTTCGACCCAACAGCTGTTGAAGCCTTTAGCCAGAGCAAGGTGGTTCGGGAAAGCCAATAAAGGACCAGTTCTGCAAAACCATTACAACCGAACGGCAAACGGAATGGTGGTCTACGTCAAGGAAAATAGGGTACTTGCCTAGCAGAAACACTGTTAAAATGACGAGCAAGAGCATCGAATACCGTTTTTTATGCTCCATGACGGTCGCATTGAATGATAACAGGCTGCCAAGAAAGTCAGAGGGAATTGGACCTTGGAATCGGATTATTGCAAAAAGCGTCCATAGTGGAAGACAGATAAAGGGAGGGTGAGAATTCGATAGCTCGAGTACAGAATTCGCCAGTAATGATTGCGAGCAGCGAGCGTAGCAAAAGTCAGTGTGACACCGTTGTGACCCGAGCAAGCTCTTCCTCAACGTTCACCGCGACCACCACCTGGTTCTACCTCTCCACGAAGGACTCTCTTTGACCTATCTCTCCTGTGGACCGGATATAGATATGGCAGCGACTTGATTCCATAGGTCAGACTTTGTATGTCGTTTTGTTCATGCTGTCGTGACTCGTTATTGGCGTTCGTGCTGTCTATATTCGCGTTTCTCTGGTCTTTTGTACTGTTGGAGGAGGAAAAGGGATTTCTATTTGAGGCTGGGAGAGAGGTAGATCTTCTCTGCGTATTTCGGTAGACGAGACGAGACGAGGCTTTAGAGACGACGCGAGACGAGGTTCAAGGTCTCAGTTTGTCGTGGAGGGTTTTTCTGGGCGAGACGAGCTCGTGTCGTTGACAAGATCGTTGGAGTTTTGGTCGGACGAGACAAGGTTGTTTGGTTTTGGTAGCCCAGACGAGGAGGAAGGAGCGACAGATGTATCTCCGTCTTCTCCTCCTTCTCGCTCTCGCTCTATCCCTTCCCTTCGTCTTTGCTCTCAGCTTGCATTTGCTCCATCTTCCGTTTGCTCTTCCCTTCCCCTCTTTTTTACCTTGTTCACCTTCCTCCTTCCCTCGCCTCTCTATGTCTCGTCGTCGCTCCCTTTCCTCCGCTACGCTCTTCCCCTCTTCCGACGTTCGCTGATGCTCCTTGGATGCTCCTTCGTGCAGGTCCAAACATCCACTATCCCCAAAGCCTCCCGCAAACGAGACTGGTATGGCCGTTGTGGTTGCTGGGGATGTTGCTGTATGCAGTATGTGCGTCAAATTTCCATTTCTCCTGGGTTTCTGTATTTTGGGGTTTCGGGGCTTCATTTGTTCTACGAGCAGTGGCCATTGAGCGGTTCTTTTGCGATGGTTCTGCGTTGGAATTCGGACCAAGAGGGATTGGAACAAAGAGGGTTGGATGTTTCGTGGTGTACGAAAAGCGAGGCCTATCACCAAAATCTCACTACCAACCCATTCAGCGACATTTTGCTACCGGCCCTTATGCGAATACGTCTCGTATGATTCGCTGCTTTTCTTCTACAGGGACAGTTTGCTATTCATCCTCTACGGGACCATCCCGTTGATTCTCCTTCCTCCTTCTCGTCTCCATCCGTCGTTTGCAACCAAGCTGACACCCTTCACAGCCGCAATTGATAGGGAGCATGTTGCTGCTTGAGTATATGCGAGCTGGTGAGCGTCTTTTCATCATTTGTACTCTGTCCATTCGGTTGGCTTTCTCGTCCACCAGTCCTTTGTTTCTGGCCGGCGAAACCCTTGTCATTTCATTCCTTTCGGTGTCGCTTTTCCTTTACCTTTCGGTGTCCCTTGTCGGTGTGGCATCAACTTGTCTTCCTTAATCCACGAATCCATTGCACCCTCCATCATTACGAATCCCTTCGCCTTCTATTCCATGTCAAAATTCCAAATCCTCTACCTCTTTTAACACAGATGTGACTGACGTCTCCCGCAGAATACGTCGTCGCTCGGGTCCACCTCGCTCGTCTTCAACTTTCCATTTGCAAGGTTTTTGGTTGAGATGTCTGCGACGAGTACTGATATTTATGTGAGGGTGATCTCTTGTATTCGTACCGACTGTATTTCTTCTTCCTCTTTTACTCCCTTCGCTCGATGTCTCGTCGCTTCGTTCGGCTCCATCTCCCTTCGGTTAATCTCTCTCTGGCTCGCTAACGCTCGCCATCGCCAGGCACCATAATCGTCGTCCTTGGCGTAATCGGCATTGTCGCACTCGGCTCCATAAACTCCGGCCCAACGCTCTGGCGTGCGGCGGGCTGGGCCTTTTCTTTGTCATGACGGTGGCGCTGGTTGGGAGGAGTGATGTGTCGAGTGCCATTTGCTGGGAGTCACGGATTCAATGCCGCAATCCCGTCTCGAGGGCTATAGCAGCGACTGTGGCGCTGTGGAATTGGACGATGAAGATGGACGTTGAGGATGGGGTGGGCATGTTGTGGCTGTGGGCTTGCTGGGGAATGTTTGGTTTTTGCAAAAGCTATGGGAATTCAATTCATCTATTGTTTTATCTTATCTTTCTACACGATAAATCTTACTATATTGCAACGTAAAACTGCTCTCCTGATCTCTATCGCCTGAAAACCCGGGCAACCAAGTCGGTTATGCTGCACCCGTATTCGCCATTAGCCTCCTTGTCGTCACTGCTGTTTTACAGATTATATGTTCAAATCAGGGATTGAAGGTTTATGATTCCACTTTGGTTGTGCCGGTGTTTTATGGAGTTTATACGGCTACTGGGTAAATCTCTGTCGTTGTTTTCTTTCATTCTAACGACTTGATTATTCGCCCAGCTTCCTCAACTCCCCAATCTTCAACAATGAAGTCGACACATATCAGTCGTGGTCTCTATCCCTGATAATCGTGTCGATATTGATATGGGGGACTGTTGACGCACAAGAAGCCGGAGCCACATGTATAATACTCACTGCTACATAGTTACAATTATATTTTGTTTTCCTTTCTCGAGTTACGAGTTATGCTTGCACTGCACAATGTAGGGTATTCTGCTTGAATTTGAGAATAGAACTGATTGATCAGGTCACAGTAGGATAAATCACGATTGCATTTGGCAATGCAGAGGAGTCCGAATCTCACTTCGCTGTATGATACCTAATTCTCACCTCTTTATTGCTTCACACTCTGGTCTCATTTGGCAGTACGAGGTGTTCTGATTTCGTTTAGTCAAGTTGGAGTCTGGGAAGTGAGGTTGGAGCCTGAAAAGTAAGGTTGGAGAGTATGGAAAGTAAGCTGGGGCCTGAAAAGCAAGGTTGGAGCCTGAAAGTGAGATTAGAAAAAGATGTTTTGAAGGTCTCAAATGAAGGTCTCAAACATCATTTAAAGAGAAAAACACAGCAGAAGAAATCCCAAAAGAGCCAAAATTGATTTGACCCGGGCTTGAACTGAGGACCTTCTGTGCATGAGTCTGTGTCGCAGCTACTATGTCAGAGAGATGAGATAACCAACTACACCATCAAATCAATGGTGTGCCTGCAGATGATTGACATGATGGAGCAGCAGAAGATTATTGAGATCATAGCCCAAATCAGATGAGGTACTCTACTCACAGGATGACGAGGACAAGTTCCTGACTACTAAAAGAATGATGCCTACATACCACGAAGATAATCTACATGGTGGTGTTGAGAGAAACATAAGGTTTGATGTATACCAGCTCTGAGGCCAGCTTTTGATTTTCCAGGAATGCATCAAAAGAAGTCGACAACTAGTTTGATATACTGTAAAGGAGATAGTAGGAAAGTTTCAAATTCGATCGGTACAATTGCCAACTGTAAGAGTTTCATGATAGTTCATTTAGTGTGCTATTTAGTTGCCAAACAGCCTGCGTAGAAGCCAATACATCAAGGTCTTCCAAGCTGGAATCCGATGCATATGGTCAGATCTGAAAGTGTCTGTATCCTCTGATGCTGAAGCACCTTCCTGCATTGGAAGAACCTCCCATGACATTGGATTTTCTTGATATTCCTAGAATCAGACACATAAAGATTCAGTCTGACTCTCAACATACCATCACTAAGGAACCTACCTTGATACATATCATAAGCTGGCCTAAATGGGGTGTTACTTTAGGTAGGATAGACTAGTGTCAGAGTGAGAACAATGTACCTAAATAGTAGCCATAAGAAGAGCTCACCTCGGATTGTTTAGTTGCACATTCCAAGTCACTCTCAAACTCCATCGGATCTATACCAATTTCAACAAAGGACATCCACCTGTTGATATTTGTTATCAAAATTTCAAGCAATTTGATGACCTTTGCTTCAAGTTCAGAACTCTTTATGCTCTCTTGATCAGATGTAGTTAAGATTCCATTCAAATGATAAACCCAGTTCCAGAAAACATAGTCTCTGGTAGGATGATCCACAAATGGATCGAAAGCCCGCAGATAACGACTGATGTGGGTGATGCAGCTGAAAAGAATGTGTTGGTGGATAGCAGCAGATTTGAAAAACTGATGTTGGTGCCGATTTGAATCTTTTAAAAAGTCCAGCAAAGAGGTGTGATATGGTCGAATGATGTTTGGATATGATGTTGGAAGAATCATAACAGAAAGGCACCCACGCAATGCCAGGCGCACATCTCCAGCTGAATCAAGACAGAGAATTGAATGTAATTCCCAAATCTCAACTGGAATATGCAAGAGAGCAACAGCACCAATAACCAGTCCAAAATTTGGATAAGATTTGGCATCCTCTAGAACTTGCTTGTAGAGTGAGTCCAAGCCTTTGTGCATCCGTTTGGCAGTCTCCAGATTACGCCGGGGGTCTCCATATTTGTCATCAATGAATCTGACAAGTGTTGAGGCATAGGCAAATATTCCCTCTGACTTTTCAGCCAGAGTACTGACAATGCCTAGACCAGGCCAGTCTGCACCAAGATTTCGTCTTTCTGCAATCTTATCAAACTCAGGCAGTAGATAGTTCTCCACATCCTCTATAGCGGGAAAGTCCTGGAGAGCCATGTGACACTTTGGGATGATTAGCTTGAACATCTCAGCAATGTCAGCTTCTGGCCGGCTGGTGAAGAGGATGCGGAAGTGAAGCTGTGTTGTCATTGTGTCAATGAGGATCTTAACTAGATGTTCCAGGCGGATTTTGCCCTCAGCCTGATTATATTCATCAAGGCCATCAATGACAACAACCACGGGGAGGGCTGGAGGTCTGGCTGAAAGAATGGGGAGGATAATGCCTGCAATGGTTGTGAGCTGACCCTCAAGACACTGGTAAAACAGTCCTGCATTGGTCTCAAGGGCTTCATCAACTTTTTGCTCGATAGAAGTGATACCTGTGCTCTTGGCAAGGGTATAGACAAAGGTAGGGATGAATGCAGACAGGTTGCTGCGGGTGGTATATCTCCTAGAGAAGAAGTAGCTGAAGGCAAGACAATGGTTCGTATCACACTGTTGTGCCACAGTATGAGCAATAGTGGATTTTCCAGCTCCTGCGGGACCAGAAAGCCAACAGACTGGTTCACCATGACCTAGAGCCCATTGATCCAGCAGCTTCAGTATCTCTTTTCTTGTATCTGGTGCACAAAGTGATGCTTCCTCACGCTCCCGCTCATGGGAGTTGTATGCTGTGTCATGCCTGGCAAGATCCTTGAGCCGCCTGGACATCACTGAAAAACATCAATGCCATATTCCATGACAGAAATCAAGAAATATTACTGGGAGCATGATGGATGATATTGCCATAATTGTGCCCAACATTGTGAGAGATATTGTGAGAGGCCACATCACGACCTATAGGGCCTACAAGAAATGTTAAAGACTTTTCTTGATATTGTCTCACATAGACCTACCAAAATTGTTCCCTGTCAGGTCTATTTGCGCGGCCACTGCCATATCGAAAGGTGAGGGAGAGCTGCTCGATGGAAGGAAGCACCGGGTGCAACTGACAGTGAGCACGAGACTGCAGTGATCGACCAATCATGACCGATCATGTGCCCAAGGCACCGGTTTCGCATCACAGTTGACCAAAATTGGTTTCAATGAGTACAATTTCTATCTCCATAAATGGGACCTCTCTTTGTAGACTAGCTCTCAAAATTTGGGTTGCTATCTGTTCATATTATTGTATGTCCAGTGGTGTTTGAAGTTGAACGCAAGGAATGCTTACACTACGTATCAGGCTGATATATGAGGCGGTGCTAATATCTCCGAACGGTCGAGCGGATTCTGGTCCTTTTGATTGAATCTCGAGAGATCTAGAGCCATTTATTGTCTTCTCTGGGCATTCGTGCTATCCCTCGGCATCAATGTTACAGATCTCCTGTCTATTCATTAGATTTATCATTTTATTGTATCGGGTTCAAGTAAGGACATTTCAATAAATTCTATAAGCTATGTGCTCGATATTTACACTGTTTCCAACCCTCTCAAGTCCCCCAAACCCACAGCAACGGGATAGTCTAGTGAAAATTCGATTGTTTCACATTCAGGTCTTTTTCAACACGAATTTTGTGGTGCGGGACCGCTCCAGCAGCAGTATATATCCATCCTTGATAAGATCAATCCGTTCTGAAGATGATCCCCACACTGGAATGAATCTATAGTCCACAACTATTCTACTGAATCAATATCAAAACACCAATAAGTATCAAGTCCCGGAAAAATTGGAGAAAGGCGCAAGATCTGGCATGAAGATCTCCCATCGGAGCACCGACGAACACAATAAGCGGAGCCATCGGACATGTGGTCCGAAGCCGAAGACCAATCGGAATCACTCGGCGATGCCTGGGAATTTGCGAGCGCTTCGCCTTTTCATCCTGCCTTCATGTTCCTTGCTCATTGTGTACGTCGAACAACATTTTGCAGCCAGTAAGTCACATTTTCTGTGTCTTATAGTTATTCTCAACAAGAATCTCAAGTCTTTTGTTGTTCTTAGCCCTTGGCCCCGGTTGACAGCAGGGTTAAATTCATGTCCTTTCTCAGCTTTGTTCGTCTCTTTTACTTTTCTGTGATGCAAGAGACTCATCCTCAGCTATTATTTAGCCACCCCTGATCAATGGGTCGAATGTAAATCGTGTAGCCCATCGAGGTTGGACATTTCTGCTATTTTGAATGCTTCCCTTGCTGGCGCTGCAGCTTCTACGCATGGTGAGCATTATCATGCTGGGTTCATATTACCGCTTATTCCATTCAGCTTCAGCTATTTGCTGTCCGAAATCATCGTTGACCAGCATTTTAAACCATGACTCTGCGATCATCGTCAGCGCGCTGTCATTTCCTCTATAGATCCATTCTAAGCGTCCCTTTCAGATGGACTTACCTTGGGTGGTGCTGGTAGCGGGTCAATAGCAATTTGCAAAGGGCTTTGTTCGTAATATCGTTTCTCTTAGCGCCCGGTAGGTCTCCTTTTTTCTTTGTGTCCATTCGCTCTGACCTTCAATCTAGCCAATGAACATTCTCCAGCTCCATGCCGCACCCATCAGAAACGTGTCTCAATACAGCATTCATTGAACCCAAGAACCCTCTATGGCACTGTTCACCGCTCAGCCCTTTCCATTGCTGTATTGTCCGTCAAACCCAACTTGAGGCTGTATACCCAGACCAGCGTCAATTCCAACATCTTTGAATTGGCTGCCAGACATCGAAGACTAGATTAACCCAAGCAAGATGCTGCTTCCTCGAGATATCCAAACGTTGGGTTTTCTGGATATCATGGTGCGTCGCTTTTTCTTCTAATGTGATTCAACCGTCTCATATTGAGCTGCAGCACAATTTCGCCATTCTTCCTCCCTCTTCCTGTTGGTTCTGGCCTGTCGACCGGTCCACGGTTTCATTGATTATCGTCCATTATCATTGCACTATCACCAATTCGCTCCGTTTGCCTGTCGGCCGCCACAGATGTTTATTGTTCACCAAAGCTAGCAATTCTATTTTGTCTTTTTGAGCACCCTGTCGTGATGAATCATGAGCGCTATCTAATCTCTTTTCTGCAGCATTCTCCGTCGCTATATGAATCATAACTGAACGGTGATGCAGCCGTTTTATTCGTTGATTTGCAGGGTTTCGGTAAACATCTTGAGCCGATGGAAGACGGTACGTTGCTGAAAAGCCACAGTGAGCTCTTTGTTGACGTTTTCATAGCTTGGTGTATCGACGTGAACCTCAAGGTCCTATGATCGACTTTCGAGAGGTTAGAGCCTGGTGTGGCCTTCTTCATTCCGCCGTTCCATCTTCCGGATACCGATCTGCCCAGCGAGGAAAATAGGCCAGTCATTCGGGAGATGCTTCACAATCATTTGCAGCACGAGAAATATGCGGGTAAGAAGGGTTCATATTATCAGGTTTTTGAGAAGACGCTGATGTCGACTTTGGATTGGTGGGCCCAGTCTCCTTTGCGGCTATCTGATATTCGTTCGCGAGCTCACGTATCAGGGTGGGCCCATAATGGTGTACCGGAAGCTGCTTCTGAAAAGGGAGAGGTCGTTTTTATGGGCGAGGATCATGGCGCCG